AACATCTCTACTCACATAGACTCGTTGAGTGGAAAGATAAAAAATATTATAACCTTTTTGACCAAAAGGATACCCAATGAAAATACCAAGATGAGCATGAGCATCAAACTTGTGTTTAATGTGAGTGTTTCGTGCAAAACAGAGACATCCAAACACACACAAATGAGAATAAGGAGTTTTGAAGAATAACAGCTCAAAAAGAGTTTTTCCATGAAGTACCTTAGATGGAGTGTGGTTAATAAGGTAGGCAGCAACAAGAATACGCTCTCCCCAGAATTTGATGGGAAGTTTGGATTGAAATCGAAGAGCTTGAGCAACATTTAACAAATATCTATGCTTACGCTCAACAACACCGTTTTGTTGAGGTGTATCAACACAGTTGTGTTTATGAATAATCCCAAGCGAGGTAAAGAAGTCACGAACTATATGATTAAAAAATTTTGTGCCATTGTCATTGCGAACACGACGGATAATAGAGTTAAATTGTGTTTGTACCATGGAAAAGAAACTTTGAAGTATAGAAAATGTCTGTGACTTATGCTGCATTAAGAAGACCCAAGTATTCCTAGAAAAATCATCCACAATTGTGAGGAAATAATGAGCTCCAGTAAGGGATGGAGTTGAATATGGTCCCCAAATATCTATATGAATTAAATCAAAACAAGCACTTATTGAAATAAAACTAGTGGGAAAGGATAAACGAGTTTGTTTTGCTAAACGGCAAATTGTACAATGACATTTATTAAAAAAAGAAATACTTTGATCTAGATGAGAAAAATGAGGTGCAACACTATAACTAGGATGTCCAAGCTTGCAATGCCAAAGATCCAAAGGTAAAGAGGTTGCTACAAGAGAGATTGCTAGAGATATTTTATTGTTGATGTCAAGATAATAAAGGCTATCATGCTCCTTCGCTAAACCAATCACCTTCCTTGTCACTAGGTCTTAGAAGATACAAACATTAGGTAGAAAAAGGATTGAACAATTAAATGACTTAGTAATTTGACTAACGGAGATGAGATTAAACGTAAAAGTAGGCACATGAAGAACATTTTCTAGATGTAAAGAACAATTGAACTGTATAGATCCAGAATGGGTGGCTAATGAATACTCCCCATTGGGTAATTTAATTGGTAAACCTTTATATGTTTGTGCATTTTGTAAAGATGAAAAACTACTTATGACATGAGTGGTACATCCTTAATCAACTACCCACTTTTGATGAGGAAAATTAGTATCAGTACTTGCCATGTTAACTAGAGGATTAGAGGTGTTGAGAATACTTGGTTGAATGAGTGTAAGAAGCTACTTAACTTGATCCTGAGTGAAAGGCTGGTTTTGATTTGAGCTGAATGCATCTTGGTCGACAACTGCTGCCACATGGCGATTTGAGTCACTTTTTGGAGAATTATGATTGTGTCTCATGTTGCTAAACCTTGGTCGAGCATTAGCCTCTTTGAATTCTTTCCTATATTGAGAAGCATGGAAACTTTGAGTCCCCTGTTTCTTCTGGCATCGTGTCTCTCCGTGTCCATCTAAGCCACAAAAATCACAATGATAGAAAGGTCTTCCATTTCTAGTCCTGAACTGTTGATTAAAACTACCAAACTCTTATGAGTTGACAACTGCCATAGCTGATTGTTCTAGATATGGCAGTGATGAAACAGATTGAATAGATCTTTGCCTTTCATCCTAAAGAGCCAAAGCTAAAGCCTTTAAAATAGTAGGCAATGGATTCATCAAGAGGATCTGACTCCTCAAGTTGCTATAAGATTCATTAAGCCCCATGAGGAATTGAATCAACCGATTTCGTTCATCTAAGGTACTGATCTCCGTTGCTGCCTCACATGTGCAGGCTGGATGTGGATTATAAATTGCCAGTTCATCCCATAATCCTTTCAAAATTGTATGATATTTTGTGACAGAATCATTCTTTTGCAAGTGATTCACGATTGCTCTTTAAATCTCAAAAATCCATGGTACATTGAACTGAGAAAATTGATCCTTCAAATCGATCCAGACATCATGAGCAGTCTTCATAAACACAACGCTATTGGCGATGTCTTTTGAAAGTGCATTCAAAATCCATGAGAGTACCATACTGTTGCATCTGCTCCAGATTGTAAACACAATAGAATTTGATGCTGGTTCGTTGATGGTTCCATCAACAAATCCTAGCTTATTCGTTGCTTCAAGTGCCACGGTCATTGCTCAGTTCCAAGTGGGATAATTATCACCTGTTAATGGTTGCGTGACTAGCACTGTTCCAGGACTATCTGAGTGATGTAAATAAAATGGAGAGGTAGATGAATTTGTTTCACTGTTAAATGTGTCTTTAGGAGCTATGGGCTTTTTAGGTAAATCTTCTCCGCCAGACATGTTGACTGTTTTAGAAAAAAAAAAAAAAACAAATGAAATAAAGATGAATCACGCAAGATTGAAACACTACTCTAATACCATGTCAAGATATGAAAAGTTTATCTCTATATTCCATAAACAAACTGTAGAATTACAAGTTTATATACAAGTAAAAATACCAAACTTAGTTGAACTAGAGCCTAAAATAATGGTAACAGAAATATTTGAAGAATTCAGTTCCTTGATCTACGGAATAGCTGGTATAACTGATATCTGGTAGAACTGTATCTGGTCTGCTGGTATTAAGTTTCAATCAAATTAGAAGGGTAAAAATTTGATCTCACTCTAGACATAACAAGGAGGAAGTAATTTTTAAAATTCATATATATATATATATATATATATATATTTTTTTTTCTCTAACAAATTTGAATTTTTGTGAAAGAACAAAGAAGTAATTTTCAAAAATGTTTGCTGAAAAGCTTTGCCAAACATGCCCACATTCCGGATCTTCATCTAATGATAATATATAGGGTACGTGGTTGAGTCCTGCAGGTTAGTGTCTCTATAATGGAGATTCTCTGTTCCATGCTTGTTGAAATGCAAAGGCAAATGCAATGCATTTTTTTTTGGAATACTTGGTGTGGAGAATGTAACATCTTTGTGTATATATATTGAGATAATAAAGGTAGAATCTGTTCCATCACTCGTATGCTTTAGAAAAGGTGAATATTTCACCGTCTATCTTTCTTTCTTTCTCTATTTTTTTAAATTTATTTATTTTTTAACCTTAGGTTACATAGCCATCTATCTTTTGTTTCTCTAATGGAAAAATGGGAACATACCATGCGATTTATCCAAAAAGTTAAAAACACATATAGACACATAGGTGTAATCAACTTTTTTAAAACTTTAAAAAAAATAAAATATATCCCTTCCAAAACTTCTTTTAAACATCAAATTAAAAGAAATAAGCATCAAGTAAAAAGTTGTAAATTTAAATTTTAAGCATATACATTAACTTTGTTGTTAATGGGATGGGAATGGACTTGACCTCTTTATGTAATTTAAAATAAAGTAAAATAAAGCAATATAGATATAATTTTTCCTAGAGGGTAGACAGAAGTCCCAATAAATTAGTTTAATTGGCAAGTTTGTATTTAATAACCTTCTCAAGTCAATCAAGAGGTCTCAATTTCATGATGTTGAAACAGAGACTACCTTTTGGGTGGGGGGGAAATGCCCCTTTGATTTTTTTGGCAAGAAAAAAATGCCTCTTTTTGATGATTGTGTATGTGTATGGGGGAAGGAGAATGTCAATTTAATTTGGATATGATGTTGATTAGTGGTTAAGAAATGAGATGCTGATAACAAATGGAGACGCGGTGAGACTTAGCATGA